TGTGTGTGTGTGTTTGTGTGTGTGTGTGTGAGTGTGTATGTGTATGTGTTAGTGTGTGTGTATGTGTGTATGTGTCTGTGTGTGTTAGTGTGTGTATGTGTTTGTGTGTGTATGTGTTAGTGTGTGTGTATGTGTTTGGATGTTTGTGTGTGTTTGTGTGTGTGTTTGTGTGTGTGTGTGTTTGTGTATGTGCTTGTGTGTATGTACATACACTTCTGTGTATTGCATATACTTTTAGGTAAATATAAAGTGACTCCTTGAGGCTTTTTGAAGCGTCACTGATGTGTCTGTCCTGTGTCCCTCCTTCTCCTCTGCATTGACCTCCCTCCCTCTACCCAGTTGGAGCCCCTCCCCGTCAGTCCATTTCCTGTTTTCTCCAATTTCCTTTTTGTGGTGGGGATGTAGGAGCATTTTTCCAGAGAGGCCATTCTGTGTCCATGTCACAGAAGCCATTCAGATCCCAGCAGGGTCTTTTGGCTCAGCCCTCACTGCCAGGTCCCTCCTTGGCCAAGCTTTGGACACCACATTCATTCTGTTCAGCCTGACCTCAGTGAGCCTCTCAGTCAGGGATGCCCCGGGACACAGATAGGAGGGACTGACCCAACATTGCCCCTGCCATCCCACCACCCAGCATGCCTTGAGTCCTGTCCATCATGGTGCTATCGAGCTGGCACTGTCCTTGTCCATAGCCAGTGGGCACATGTCCCTCTGAATACAGCCATCATTCCCCAGGAGGCCATGGCTGGAGGCAGAATGCGAGGGTATGGCACACATGGGAAAACAGAAGCACTCATGGGGTAGAGGACCCGTGAGAGGGTTTTTCAGGCATGCCTGGACTCCTCTAGTGTAACAGCTAGAGTGTGACATCTTGCATTGCCCATGTCCCCTTATTCACTGTGGCTTCAGTCTCCAGCTACTGAGGTGGGGACTCTTACATGGTCTCCACTTTGGACCCTCCTCTGTCCTTACCTAAGTTGTCCTCCCTCAGCAGCTCCCTGGGAAAAGCTCACTTCTGGTCCATAATGGAGCAGACCAATCCTCGGGCGGGAGCCCCGAGGACTGAGACGTGGTCTCAGTGAGACGTGGCCTGGGATCCACTGCCCACGGTAGCTGTTGTTCCCGCAGGCACGTGGATCTGGCCTTCCGCTGGCAGATCATGAAGCCCAACCTGCAGCCTCTGATGCCTGGAGAGACGCACAGTGCAGACAGCATCAAGTGCCACCCCGACAGGGAGTCGGCCTTCTCCATCATTCCCGAGAAGGGCGTCCTTGAGGGCCACTCGGACCACCAGTTCATCCTGAGCTTTTCTCCCTATGAGGTCCCCCATTGGCCCCTGGCTGGGTCATTAGCTTTCTGTGTGTCTGCACCTGTGCCTCTCCTCCCCCAACCCCCACCCATGTTCTTGAAAGTGCCTGAAAGCACAGCCCGGCCTAATGAGGCACTGGGGCCACCACACATGGAGTGAGCGCAGCATGTAGCTCAGGGGTAGAGCTGGAATCTGGAGTGTAGGACTCAGCAGTTTGTTCCCCGGTCTGACCCAGGTGTCCCTCCTGCAGCACAGTCCTCTGTGTGTGTGTGTGTGTGTGTGTGTGTGTGTGTGTGTGT